ATAAGAACAGGCTGTGTCCTGGCCTTCTGCCAGAGGGTGATTTTGACCCCTGAGGGCAAATAAGGCTTGACACAGATGCTGACCATGTGCTGTGAAATGACAAGTGTTCTCTATTCTCACAGATACCATTGTGAACTCAGGGCACCAGGCATCTGCAGTAGCCATGGACACTTCCTAAAAAGAGCCAGACTGTAATGCTACATTGGAAAGGAGGTGTTATGACAACGCTGCGTACAGAAATGCCAGAATCTAGTTATTCATGTTCTTGAGCTCTGCTTCCTAGCACTTTAAGCAGGTTCAGAGACATGGATCTAGTTTTAGCCTCTAGATTGTTAAAAGCGTCATGTAAAATAGCAAACAAGTCAACTGAGCCTTAATTGCAAGTCATTCTGTCTAACAGAATGTCCTTTTTTTCTGCAGTACACAGATCTCCCAGCTTGGCCTACTTTTTCAGAGCAAAGCTAGTGTTGAACATGTCAGTTAACAGCAGATAATTATGTTTGTTTAAAAATGTAATAAAAATAAAAAAAACTCTGTACACAGACCTTAGCTTGAACAGCATACGAAGCCAGTAAAACTGTAGCCTCTGGAGAGCAGTAGATTTCTTCATCCAATATTTGTTTCTTAACCTAAGGATTAAAATAATAAATAAATAGCACCAAAGTATGAAAGATGCTCCAAATTCAGGGTTTGTATCATGCCTAAAATTGAAATCAAACATGCCTAGACCACATCCTGGCATATTTAACATGATAGTTAATTATGAGTTAACAAAACAAAAAAAGATATTTTGGAAACAGTATGTAGGCGTTAAAGCACAACTACTGTATGATCAAAATAAAAGCACTAGTTTTTGAGCTCAGTGCTAAAATGAAGGCATTTGTTTTGGATGGGTAAACTACCACACAGTAATGTGTTTCCTTTCTGCAATGTATCACTGCTGACACTGGATTAAGATAGTTTAGCTACTTCCATTGTGAATTTTCATGCTGTCAAACTTCTGGGTTTCCTGCAAATGTCACTTTTACATTAACTGGCTTTCTAAAAATCTGCACCTTATTCTTTAGCTTGATTGCTATTGAAAACAAGATGCACTCAAACCACTAACACATTCCAGTAGCCTTCATTTCACTTTACCCAAATGTTTCCATGTTAGTATATGGAATTATAGAAACTTGTCTAGTTTACAGTGCAGGAAAGTTCATCAAATGCTTCTAAAAGGCACTTTGGCAGGAAGATCCAAAATAATTATTCAATTTTATCTGAGAATTATTGAAGTATCACAACATTTCCCTGCCAAAGCAAGTGTTCAGTGTAGAAATTAGAAGCTTGATTCTAAATTATATGAGAACTATTTAACACCACTCTGGCAGCAAAGTGGTTTCCGCATCCCGCCCCCGCTAAGGTGACAAAGAGGTGTGAAATGGGTCCTTTATACTGCAACCCTCGGAATAGCTAGTTCAAACCCAGATGTCATAGGGCTA